ATAAATAACGGGGTATATAATCATGAGGAAATGAGGTATTTTAATCATGAGAAAAATGAAACAGAAACTCGCCACATTTTTAAAGTATGTATTTATGCTATATATCTATATAATATATGTACATATACGCATACAAAAACATAAATGCTTCAATACATGGTACGAGAATTTAAAAAAAACATTATTCTTTAGCTTGTTGAAAAAAGTTTAAAATGTTTGTCTTACGAAATTTCACCATCTTTTGCTGAAGGAGACAATTTTCGTAAAAACTTTCTAAATTTTTCAAATGTTGAAATGCAGTGAAATCATCTTTAGCAAATTTTTTCAATATAGAAATATGATTTAGAGCTTCCCCATATGAATTTATCGTTTTTGAACCGCTTAGTGAGTCCACCAGTTCCACTTCTTCTTCTGAGTCGTTTGGACTACCATATTCAAGTTGGCCTGGGCTTTCTACATCCAAATTCGAAAAGTTGCCAATGGCATTTTCTTCTGTTGTTATGTTATTGTCTATGGCCAGGAAATCATCTACTTTCTGGGGATCTGCTACTCCTAAATGTTTGGCATGTCGCAGTAACTGAGCAAGTGTCGCTAAGGGCAGATCGTCTTCAGCATCGCAATAATTTTGCTCAGCAAATTCTGAGCTTCATTCACTTTTTCTGAATCCAGCTTTGCCAACACAGTTTTTAATTGTAGAGGAATTTACTTTATTCCATGCTGTTTTTTATAAAATACAAAGCTTCTAACACATTGATAGACTTTGTAAGCTCAGATAAGCTTTGACCATCGTCAATTTTTGTTAAAATATGTTTTAAAATCAAGTGCCGATAATAAAATTTAAAGTTCTGTATGACACCTTGATCCATGGGCTGACAAACAGAAGTTGTGTTTGGCGGTAAAAATATAATTTTCACATTTTTCATTTTCATATCACGAGGATGAGAGCATGCATTGTCTAAAAATAAAAGAACTTGCCTTTTTTGGATTCTCATTTTCCGGTCGAATTCGACTAACCACTCAGACATGATTTCTCGGGTCATCCATGCCTTTTTGTTGGATTTCCAAGTCGCTGGGAGATCCTTAATAGCAACGTTTTTTAAAGCTCGGGGACGAGCCGCTTTCCCGATCACAATCAATTCGCATTTTTCACCAGCCATATTTGCACAGAATAAAATGGTTAGTCTATCTTTAGACAACTTTCCACCCACACATGTTTCTCCTTTAAAGGACAGAGTTTTGTCGGGCAATGCGCGAAAAAAAAGTCCACTCTCATCTGCGTTGTACACATCTGGTTTGTAGCCAAGCAACATGGACGGAAGTTTCTCCAAAAATTGTGACACATCAACTTGATCTACTGCAGCAGCTTCGCCAGATATGCATTTGAAACTCACACTATGTCTCTTGAGCCACTTTTGCAGCCACCCGTCGGACGCACTGAAATTATTATAGCCCAAAGTAGTGGCGATTTCTTTAGCTTTCATTTTCACTAACGGCCCTGAGATTGGAATGTTCTGACTTCTAGCTTTCACAAACCACTCAGAACATGTTTTGTCTATAGCAAAACCTTCCTTTTTTAAAAAATCCTTCTTTTGATTTATATTAGTTCCTGATTGCCATTTACTCCTGATATCTTCCTTATTTTTGGCAATTTCAGCTGCTTGCGTTTTCCCAATATTAAACCTCTTTGCCAAATGACGAACTGAAACACTTTCTCTGTCTAATACGTTAACAACTTCCATCTTTTCCTTTAACGAGAGCATCCTTTTTTTTTGGTGCCATTTTACAGTTACAATAATAAAATACGTAACTCAATCAAGTACGAATTTGCCTGAACTGAAGACAAGCCACAAGATTACATACAGGCTACCCAACGAAATGCGTAAATGGGGAATCACCTAATATAAATCGGGGAATTACCGAATTTTATGTATGAGATATGTGCATTGCAATAAGCGGAACTAAAAAATCGTCCGGGTATTAGAGTTTCGCGTCCGCTTATGGGAGATTTTTTGATCACATACAGGAAAATCTAGTGTCCGCGTCCGTTTATAAGAGCGTCCGTTTATCGGAATGCATTTAACATTGAAAATTGATGGCTGAAATTCGGTTCCAGGAACTTTGTCCGGTTAAAAGAGACGTCCTCTTATAGGAGCTGTCCGCAAGGAGAGCTTTCACTGTAATATGTCATTCCCATTCAGTGTTTTCGGATATAATTGGCATTCTGCACTGTCATATACACATTTCTAATCAGTTGGCGCCGCTAGTGTTGATACTGAATCGTAGTTTTTGTATTTGTTGGGATCGGTCGCTGTAAAGTTGCTTCAGTCGCCACCACGCAACACATAATAACACCTGGCTTAAGACATAATATGTCATATAGAACGTAGAGTCACTTGTCCATCGACCGACGCGTGAAATGTACGCTCCCAAAATACTGATTAAAGGATTTGAATGAATCTACATGCATTCGTTGTTTTAATAAGTAAAATAGAACGCAAAACCTAGCCTCAATACGTCAAAGACGATTTCTAATTCATTTGCAGTTATATAAGTATTGTTTGTCAATATGCCGAGTATGATGCTTGTAAAAAAGCAGCGAAAGAGGGTGAACATAAATAAATATTTTGTTTTCCATGCTAGAGTTGATTTGTTTGTACTCGTTATGGTTAAATAAAATAGATATGGAAACCTTCAATATAGTATACCTGAGGAAGATCCACATCTACAGCTCCTTAATGAGGAATTTTCCTATTCTTTGAAGGCAGCAGCGGTGGCCGCAGTAGTAGACTCTTCGGTCTCCTGATCAGTCGCCGTGCGCTGTGCGGGTTCGAGTCCCGTCCCAGGAGAAATTGTTCTCTTGGCTATGGATGTGATTGTCCGTAGGAGGTAGACGGTCTATGACTGTCTAACGTGGAGGTACCACCCGGCGGATGACGTAGGCGGAGCCAGAATGTGTGCATGTTGCATGCACACGTGTTCCCTCGCCAGAGTCCGTGTGGCGTCCCCCCTTTCCCCTGTACCCCCCTATAGCCCCACGGTACCCAATGGGTGTTTAGGCCTTAGGCCTTCGAAGTAGTTGGAGTATAAAAAAAAACAAAAAAAAACTACAGGACCCAACACAGAAAATGTCATAGCTTCCTTAAATTTCAAGCCATCGGAATAATTCTTCCAGATTGTCAAACAAAAAAACGTTAGGCAACCACGGCTTTCTAGTTAGTCCATGGGTGGTCCTCTGGGTAAATATGACATTGACAACGCTTTTTGAGGAGCTAACCTCTGATTAGCGGTAAAGTTACAGATAACCTGCAACTGAAAACTGTGCATTAAAGCATTTTGTGTATTTTTTACGATGAACTACGATGACTGTACTGTAGCAGTATAATGTTGGTCGGTTCCGATTGATTTCCCATCATAGCGTGCCCTGGCCGGGCCGTCCGGCTCTCGGCTCTGCGGAGTGGTCACGGTACATTAGCTCTGGACCGCGGAATGACCATGTCGGCCAATGCTGGTGAATCCGATACGTTTATTTATAATTATGCTTCGACGGACAAGTCTATTCTCCTCCTCCTCGACGTCAACCAAGAATTATGTACGCTTCGCTTTGCTTGCAATCCGTCTGCTACAAGTTATGCTGATCAGAGAGGTTGAACGCTGGCGATTGGATGGTGGTTTGCTGATAATATCGTGCACTTTGCGTTGAAGGAGTCGACGGAGCAGCGTTTCTTGGTTTAATATTGGTGCTATATATAATTATATATGGTGACTTCGAAGTTGAGTCATTTATTTTAACAGTGAGTAGATCTGATCAAAAGAAATGTTTTTTTCCTTTACCATTTTTCTGGTAAAATTAAAGTAACAAAGTTATAGCCCTTTGGAAGTTTAAGTACCGCAATGTCTCAATAATAATATTATGTGTTCGTGTTTGGCACCAACGGATATAATCCGCCTTATCGGTTCATCGCATCGGAAACAAAAAAGCGAAAGAATTTGGAACGATGTTTTTACAATTATTTTATTCAATTGTATACAGTCAGTGTCAGTCGGTAACGCGTGAGTGAATAGTGGTGTCTGTTGCGTGGCTCAAACGAAATCAAAAATGGCACATGTTTACGAAAATGCTGAACTTGTGGACATGATTCTTATTTACGCGGCATCACGGATTTATGCGGATCGGTTTCCCAATCGAGTGCAACCAACCCCTCGTGCCTTTGTTAATCTAGTACAAAGGGCTCGTGAATCAGGTGACTTAAGACCTCACAGGGAAGGGCTTGCCGGTGCTCCAAGACCGCACGATCAAATACAGGTCCGCACTGAAATACTTGTCGGGAGGTTACTTTATAAAACAAGGTAACATTTTTTTTTAATTTTTTTCTTATTTTTACACACATATTTTGGTTTATCTTCCTTCTACAATCATTATCTGAAAATTAATGACTCAACTTCAAAGTCACCCTGTATATATAGGTGAAAAATTAAAGCTTCCGCCTTTTGTTGGGTACTTCTACAAAATTTAAGCAAAGAGGACTCTTTATAGTTTTTTTAATTCCCTCTAGCTTTCAATGGACTTTGCCATCATCATCAGGAGCTGCAATTACATTGATAACAGTAGCAACAATAGTGTAAAATGAATTTAAATTGACTTAACTTACAGTAGTATGTGAGGATGTTGCTAATTGTTGTTTACGTTCAGGATGAGGGAAAAAACCCAGTAACATGGTGAAAGCTGGATAGATGGTACAATGGTCAAAATTATATAAAATACACACAAATGTGTGACAAGAACAAGTTAAAAACAGATTAATTTTTTTTTTTTTTTAGAACATGAAAGCATTACATCGTGAAGCCACTTGATGATTGCACAAAATGGTGGTCATGGAATAATGAGTGAGATGAACCCTTTGACAGAAGGCCGAAGGTTGTCAATGTCTGTGTAGAAAGATGGAACGAATTGTGGGCGTGTGCCACGTTGCCAAATCACTTCAGATGATGTGATTTTCAGAATGTTATGTAAAAAATTGTTGAACGATCATACTCAGCATCATCTCACATTAAAATGCCACCCAAAACTAGCGGTAAGGCTGCCAAAAAAAGCGGGCAAATCGCAGAAGAATATCTCAAAATCTGACAAGAAAAAGAAGCGCAGGAGGAAAGAAAGTTACGCAATTTACATCTACAAAGTACTGAAGCAGGTAGATCCCGATACGGGTATATCCAGCAAAGCGATGAGCATCATGAACAGCTTCGCCAACGATATTTTCGAACGTATCGCTGCGGAAGCATCCCGATTGGCACATTACAACAAACGTGCCACGATAACTAGCAGAGAAATTAGACAGCCGTACGACTATTGCTACCGGGAGAATTGGCCAAGCACGCCGTCAGCGAAGGTACCAAAGCCGTCACCAAGTACACCAGTTCAAAATAATATAGACGTTGTATTCGCTTCGACGGTTATACGGTTCGAAAAATAAAAACAATGTGACTCTTCACAACCATAAATGGAATCTGTTTCTTGGTCGATTCCACCAATAAACTTCATTTCACTCAAATTCTAATAATTTTCTCCTCACGATTTAATAATAATTGTTAATTTAATTTCCCATTAATTAAAATATAGTTAATTCAACTGCCTCTGGTCGGTTAACAATTTCTTACATAACATTCTGAAAATCACATCATCTGAAGTGATTTGGCAACGTGGCACACGCCCACAATTCGTTCCATCTTTCTACACAGACATTGACAACCTTCGGCCTTCTGTCAAAGGGTTCATCTCACTCATTATTCCATGACCACCATTTTGTGCAATCATCAAATGGCTTCACGATGTAATGCTTTCATGTTCTAAAAATTTTTAATCTGTTTTTAACTTGTTCTTGTCACACATTTGTGTGTATTTTATATAATTTTGACCATTGTACTATCTACCCAGCTTTCACCATGTTACTGGGTTTTTTCCCTCATCCTCACATACTACTGTAAATTAAGTCAATTTAAATTCATTTTACACTATTGTTGCTACTGTTATCAATGTAATTGAAGCTCCTGATGATGATGGCAAAGTCCATTGAAAGCTAGAGAGAATTAAAAAAAGTATAAAGAGTCCTCTTTGCTTAAATTTTGTCGAAGTACCCAACAAAAGGCGGAAGCTTTAATTTTTCACCTAACTGGTCTAGACGACAATGACCACGTGTCAAATATATATATATATATATCTTGAGACGTAGTCATTGTTGCTTAGACCAGTTAAGTGAAAAAAACTTGGGTACTTCGACAAAATTCAAGCAAAGAGGACTCTTTATACTTCATTAATCTCTAGCTTTCAATGGACTTTGCCATCTTCATCAGGAGCTGCAATAACATTGAACAATAGTTGCTATTTCTTCTCAATGTTATTGCAGCTCCTGATGAAGATAGCAAAGTCCATTGAAAGCTAGAGATTAATAAAGTATAAAGAATCCTCTTTGCTTGAATTTTGTCGAAGTATATATATATATATATACCTATATCTAATATATATATATATATATATATATATATATATATATATATATACGAGCAGTAGTCATTGCCATTGCCAAGAGTGACAAGAAATACAATCAAATGTTAATTGGGAAATTGGCAAATTTTTTTTAAACTCTTTTAACGGTAATCTCGAGCTTTCGGCTTCTCTATGGAGCCATCTTTAGGAGCTGAAAACACAAATATGGAGCTGAAAACACAAATATGAAGCTAGAAACCAACATGGGAAGGGTTTAAATTATCAGACAACTTACTCGTCGTTGAGGTTGCAGCCAACTGAGTCGATAAAAAAGAAAGATATAATAAGTGAAATCGTATAATTGATAAACTATAAAATTTGACAAAAGAAAATCATTGAAAAGGGTTTGGCCTAGGAATCGGCACCCTTCCATTGATAAAGAGTGGTCAAAGTTACAAAACAAAAGGTTTCGTAACTTTGGCAGGTTACAACACAAACAAACCAAAAAGAAAACGATGATGGACACATTTAACAATAGAAAATATTTTTTAAGAATTAAAATATCACTAATTTAATAAAGTTATTAATTAAAACTTGATCCAAAACATGAGACAAGGTAAAAACTGATTAAAAAAAACAATAAATATGTTTATTTTTTCCTCTGAATCATATCCACTATGATGCCGTGTTTGGAGTTCCAACCCGATCATACTGAGTAATGGAACCTATAATTTTAATGGTGACGGTCTGACCAAGACATTTCATATAAACGCGAATGACACTGGAAAACGGTCACCGTAAAAAACACCATAAACTTCGTGGCTTCGCAGTGGGCTGCAGCGATTTAATTAAACGTAAGTCATCGCGGACACGAGCCGCGAAGCCACGACGGAATATGGCTCGGCGATGTTAAAATTCGAACGGAACTGCCGGCATTAAACGGTTTTATGTTGTGTGTGATGATGCTGAGCGAAAACGATATTTGGGTCGAGGCTTAAGCGGCGCTTACGTTCGTTATCGATCTTGCAACAAAAACCTAATAATGCTGTTGGATTGGCGATGGTAGAATACTGGTTACTCATATAACGAAATATGATCCGTCAGGGTAGGCATCTGACTGTCAAACAGTAGGACCGTGACTAGCGGCGTTCCCCAGGGTCCCGTCTTGGGACCTTTGCTATTTCTCCTATGCACATCGGGCCTGCCTTGTGTCATATCTTCCACCTGCTCCTTGTAAGCTCATAAAATCCTTCAACGCGATCTTGACAATGCTCACGAATGGTCCTGAAGGTGGCTGTTGCCTCTGAACTTGGAGAAGTGCTGGGTTAAATGACCCCACATAAAGAAATCCAGAGATGATACATCTGGCGATCTTGGGGGCTATTCAATGGCACCTCTTCTACCAATCTATCGATCTTTAAATGTCTGATCTAAATATTGTCTAATGCGTAATGTACATCAGACAGTGAGTAATGAGCAAAGGTCCTACGGACCGCCCAGACAAATAAATGACGAATAGTACGAAAAAGACATACAGAAGAATAATTGGCAAATCAGCGTGCAGTGTTAAATTTAAGTCATCTCAAGTCTCAACATAGTCTTCACTTCTCGCTTAAATCTCAAAATTGATAGGGCTTTAATTCTATCAGGCAGCGAGTTGTAAACCTTAACAATGTCATATGAAAAAGAGCACTTATAATTTGAAGTTTTAAATTTAGGTAGTGAGAGATGATGTTTAAACCTCGTGTTACGACTATGCACTTCTGTACGGGTCTTGATCTTCTTGTAAAGATAGGATGGTGATTCAGTATTGAGTATCTTGTGGTATAGTACGGATCGATGAAGGAACCTTCTTTTCTCTATATTGAGCCAACCTAAGTTCTTTAAGTGAAGAGATATCGGCTGCCGCCTTCTAATACCACTAACAAACCTGACACAAGAATTTTGAATACGCTGAAGGCGCGCCTTATCTCGATGTAGCAATGACGGGCCGTACGCGCAGTCTGCATAGCTGAGGTGAGAAAGAACTAAAGACTCGCACAATATTATTTTTGTTGTCTTGGTTATTATGCTTCTGCTATTGTATAGCATTTTCAATGATGAAAATGCCCTTTTGGTTATAAGAGAGACATGCTGGGAAAAGCGTAGATCTGTATCCATAATAACCCCTAAATTTTTAGCGGAGTTTGTAAAAGTTATTTTGTCTTGTCCGAAATAAATATATAAATTATTGGAGTATAGTTCATGATTCTTGTTTTTACCAAATAGTAGAGCCTTAGATTTAGTGGCGTTGACGCAGAGACAATATTTTTTTGTTAGCTGATAAAGAACCTGAAGGTCCTCATTTATGTTACTTAAAGTTCGGTTTATATCTGATTCATTAAAAGCAATATATAATTGAGTGTCATCGGCGTAATAGTGATATGAGACGTGTTTAAAACTTTTGTGCAGCTGAGAGGTATACAGAGTGTACAAGAGTGGACCTACAACAGATCCTTGAGGTACACCTCGACAAACTTTAGACAATTCGGATGTTTCACCAAAGCATTTGACAACTTGTGCCCGATCTTTGAGATAATTTCTTAATAAATGAACCGCACTTTTAGAAAAACCCAAGTAGTGAAGAACAGCAATCAGTAGATCATTGTTTAGCTTATCAAAAGCCTTCGAAAAATCTAATAAGATTAAGATGCATAGGTTGCCATCATCAATGTATTTGCGGATATCATCTGTTACTTTGAGCAAGGCTGTTGTGCAGCTGTGACCTGATCTGAACCCTGATTGGTCTTCTGGAAGAATGTCATTTTTAGCAACAAAGTCCCTCATTCTAGCATCCAAAATCATTTCGAAGACCTTTGATGGAGTACATAGGATGCTGATGGGTCGAAGGTCGCCCAGATCTTCAGGGTTGCTCTTTTTTGGTATGGGAATTACTTGTGCAAGCTTCCAAATTTTGGGTATTACATTGAATTTTAGACAATAATTAAAAATATGCGTGAGATATGGTAAAATTGTAGGACAGCTGTACAGCAGCATGCTGATACTTATACCGTCGGCACCAACGGCTGTTGATTTCACTGAAAGCAATTTTTGATATACTTCATTGTCATTAGTGTACGAAAACTCAAATGCTTCATGAGGGAGTTGCGTATCGGAGAAGAATCGAAGAGTGTACTGATCAGGTTCATTATTATCACCCGAGATGGATTGCATGAAGAAGTTATTGATTTGGTTTGCCCTAAAACCATAATATCTATTGCTTCGTTCCTTATGGGGTTTTCAGTGTTGCGTTTTTTATTGGCGACTGACCCAGTTTCCCGAAATTTAGCTACCAGTTCTAGAACATATTTTCGATGCACTTTACTGTTCTCAATAAAGCGTTACAAGTTATTTTAGCAACAAAGTTTGGTCAAATTAATCGCAAACTATTCCTATTTAAAATAAGTACGAGATATTTGCTTATCTTTCTTCAAGAAATAACTCTTTTGCCACAAAAAAACGCTCCAATAGCTATTTTCAATAACAAAATGATAAACAAACCATGGGAGTAGTGAAGAAAAGCATTGACTTATTAAGTAAATTCTTTCAGTATAATTTCTTCTGAAAGTAGTACAAACCAATCTGATGTAAGTCTACTTTAAGCTTTAAATCAATAAATCTTCAAAACTACTGAACTGAAGCTCATGTATTTTACATAATTATAAAGGGAATTGAAAGACCTTTAAAATAAGGTATCACTCGACCCCCCTTTCCTTTTAAGATTTTAGGGTCTGAGCGTTTTTCCAAAAAAAAAAAACTGAGCTGCCAGTAAATGCGTCTGATTCGTTTTCGATGCGCCACCCTGTATATTGTGCTGCTTATATTTCTAAATATACTTATATTTGTTTATTAGTTTTTCTTTAATCTAATGTGTCTACTTCTTGTATATTTACATTACTTGTAATTTTTTAGTCTAAACTGAGAATTATATACTGCATGCTGTGTGACCCT